TGCAGAATTGAGTGATAATGATTTGTGGGGGAAATTCCTCATCAGACACTGAAAATGATTCTGCGACTTTGCTCAGTGATGTGCGAACTTGGCGCTATATTTCAAATTTCAGTGTTTTTGGTTTGATTATATTATTGAATTAAATTTATTATTATATTATTATTTTCTATGATTATTTATTATATTATAATTTATGATTTCGTGTTTCAAATTTTATCATACCCGGGATGTTTACTAGACTCTTGTTCGGACAGATTTCAGTGAGTTATTCCTAAAAATTACAGGCCTACAATAAAAAAAAGCCATATTTCCATGTAAAAAAATGTACCGCTTTGAGCACAGAAATACTGACATCATCAGACCGCTTGGGAGGTTAAACACAAAACGCATCAAAAACACAATACATGCTTTTCTGCAGCGTTCCCATTGAAGTCTACAGAACCAAAAACGCAAGGTTTTGCGTTAAAAAAAAAGTCCCTGACCCTTTCCAAAAAATGCACCGGGTGGAAATGCAGAGATGGGAACCTGTCCCATAAGAAATCATGTTAAATGGACTGTACTGCGTTTCTGCAAAACACTGCTTAGGTGTGAACCAGTGGTAAGTCTCAGAGCTCCACCCTTTCTTACAGCAGCTCACAGTGGGAGGGTTCACAATGTAACTTTAATAGGAAATGGAGGCATTGAAAGTAATAGGTATTGCTTGAAGTATAAAGTATTGCCCAATACCCAAAGAAGCCTACAGAAAACCTATGAGACCAGGGGCGGACTGACAACTCATGGGGCCCCCGGGCAATAGGGGATCATGGGGCCCCTGTGTCCTTGCCCACACTCAAAAGAGCCTATAAAAAAGATACCAGGGGCATTTCATGGGGCCCCCTACTGACCCCGGGCCCTCAGGCAGAGCCCGAGTTTCCAAATGGTCAGTCCGCCCCTGTATGAGACCTAAGGCTACATTATGAACCCTACAGAAAACCAATGTGAACAAGAAAAACGGTTACATAAAGGACAATGCGATACTCAACCTGTAATCAAAAAATATGCTTTTATTAGCAAAGTAGAAATGTGAAACATTGAGTAAAGACTGCAGATAGCTATCACCTCAATATATGACAGTACAAAAACAACATAAAGCAAAAAAAAAATAAAAATAAAATATATACATTTATTTTTTTGTTTTATGTTGTTTTTGTACTGTCATATATTGAGGTGATAGCTATCTGCAGTCTTTACTCAATGTTTCACATTGCTAATAAAAGCATATTTTTTGATTACAAAAAACAACATAAAACCAAAAAATAAATGTATATATTTTATTTATTATTATTATTCAGTATTTATAAAGCGCCAATAGTTTGCTCAGCGCTGTACATTACAAAGGGGGACAGAATATGGGACAGAACAATACCAATACAATGCAAAACATGAGGGGATTGAGGGCCCTGCTCTTTCGAGCTTACAATCTAGGAGGGAGGGGATAGTGGTACAGGAGGAGATAGCTGTGGGGGATGGAGTGGTAGGAAGAGTGGAGGAGGTCGGCAAGTTAGCAGGGGGGGGGGTAGGCTTCCCTGAAGAGATGGGTTTTCAGGGTGTGCCTAAAGGAGAGGAGAGTAGGTGATAATCTGATGGGTTGGGGCAGGGAGTTCCAGAGGATGGGTGACACCCTGGAGAAGTCCTGGAGGCGGGCATGGGAGGAGGAGACCAGGGAACTAGAGAGAAGGAGGTCTTGTGAGGAGCGGAGTGTGCGTGCTGGGCGGTATTGGATATTAGGTCAGTGATGTAGTTTGGGGCAGTATGGTGGACAGCTTTGTACGTCAGTGTTAGGATTTTAAATTTGATCTGTTGGGCAATCGGAAGCCAGTGGAGGGATTGGCAGAGGGGGGTGGCGGAGATGGAGCGGTTGGAAAGGTGAATGAGTCTGGCAGCCGTATTCAGGATGGACTGAATCGGGGATAGCCTGTGGTGAGGCAGGCCAGTGAGGAGGGAGTTGCAGTAATCGAGTCGTGATATGATGAGGGAGTGGATGAGCTGTTTAGTGGTTTCTGGGGTTAGGAACGTGTGGATTTTGGCGATGTTGCGGAGGTGGAGTCTGCACGAGTTTGTTAAAGATTGGACTTGGGGCTGGAAGGATAGGTTGGAGTCCAGAATGACACCAAGTACTCTGGCCTGTGGGGCGGGTTTGATGGTGGCATTGTTGGATGTGATGGAGAAGTCAATGGGGGGGGGTGTCCGGGCTGGGGGGAAGACAAGAAACTCAGTTTTGGAGAGGTTCAGTTTAAGGAAGTGGAGCGACATCCAGTCTGATATGGTTTTCTGTAGGGTTCACAAAGCCTTAGGTCTCATGCACACAGGACGTTTTTACAGCCAATTTTAGAGGCATCAGACGGTTTTTTTTATTTTTTTTTTTTACTGCTTGTAAATGGCCCTCCATGTTATCCTAAGTGCCCATGTACACATAGACTTTTAAGAGCAGAGGCATTTACAGACAGGAAAAAAAAAAAAAAAGCCTTTTGCCATGGCATCCAGGAGCAGCAGCGTTTTGGCAGAAAAAATGCTTGATGCATCTAAACGCATGTTAACGCTAAATGCGTTTAGCGCTTAAGCGTTAATTCATTTCAATGGCCCCAATTAATTATTATTATTCATTATTAGTCCTCATGTATACGTGACGTTTTTTACAGCAGCTGTTTTTGGCTTTTGAATTTTTTTTTTTCTATAGCCAGTAAACTTCCCCGCATGTTCTCCTATGTGTCCATACACACATAGACTGCAATCAGCGGTTTCTGGCTGAAAAAAAACCCCCAGAACTAGTGGGGTCCTAGAGGAGTTTTTTTAGCTGTAAAAACGCTCTAACGCGCGGTAAAATGCCGTAAACCAGCGTTTTTGGACTTTTTAAGAGCAAAAAAATATTTTTTCTGTTAAAACGCTAAAAAAACGCAAACGTGAGAAACACCACTAAACGCTAACGCAAAACCGCTAAAAAAAGCTGATAAACTGACGTTTTTAACGTGACTTTACACAGCTAGCGTTACCAGCGTTATCAACACGTCCCGTGTGCATGAGGGCTGTACACCCGAGCGCTTGACGCCTGTAAATGCATCTAAACACTTGCCCTGCGTTTACAAGTGTTAGGCGTTTTTTTTTTTCTGCAAAAGCTCCAGAAAGGGAGGGCTTCTAGGAGAAGCCGGATTGGCTGCTGATTGTTGGTGGTGTGCGGCCTTAAAATATCTGCCTTCTTCCAGCATGTTCTCTGTGTGAATGCAGTGGTCTCTCTGCAGAGGTCCAACACCTTGCCTGCTGTGTCAGGCTTTGTTGATTGCAGGTCAGCCGGGTTCACATATATGCGGTGCGGTATATCGCATGTGATTCACACAGGAACCGCACCGCATTCCTGTGCAAACCCCATGCGATTTGTGTGCGGTACGATTGGAGTCATGCATTTTGTATGGCTTTATTCGCATTGCACCCGCACCAAAAATGTGCTGGACCCTTTTTTGGGTCCACACTAGAATCGGAACGCATGGGTATTCACACCTATGCAATCTGATTCTGCACATCGCACTGTGTTTTGCAGACAGATTTTGGGGTGTTAACCACTTCCTGGCCGGACGGGAGCAGTGCAGGAGCGGGTGGCCATTTATAAACGTCCTCCCGGCTTCCCTGCGACTGCGCAACAATGCGGTCCAGTGCCCGCTGTGTCTGTGCGAGGTCCCGATCATGTGATCACTGATTGGCCAATCAGTGATCACATGAATAGTAGTAAGCAAGATGTCACTTCCTGACAACATTGCTTACTACGTGTGAAATCTGGCGTTTAGATACACTTTAACCACTTCCTGTCCAGCCCATGTACATAAACGGCCGGACGGGAGCAGTACAGGAGCGAGCTGCTGTTTATAAATGGCGCCCATATTTTAAACCTGTGGGCGCTTCCTGGGAGTGCACTGCGATCCGAAGGACACAGCGGAACACCGATCGCTGTACGGGACCTCTGAGCGAGGTCCCGATCATGTGATCACTGATTGGCCAATCAGTGATCACATGAATCGTAGTAAGCAAGATGTCACTTCTGACATCATTGCTTGCTACGTGTAAAATCTGTGAATGATCATCGAAATCACATGGTACAAGGCTATTCACAGCAGCCTTGCACCATGTGACAATCTGTGACCAATTACAGCTCACACAGTATTTCTCAATGGCTGCAAGAATGCAGACAGAGAGGAGAAATAATTGCTTTTACAGCCTTTATGGGTGTAAAAGCAATCAGTGTAAAAAAAAAAAACTTCATCACCCCCACAAGTAGTACAGTGTCACTATGGTGGCAGTATGTTAAAAAAAAAAAATAATATAAAAAAAATAAAATAAACATGTAGAAAAATTATAATTTTTGGTTATAAACTAATTTGGGTTATTTATTTTTTTTTTTTTACTAAAAAGATAACTGAATACATTTTGGCCAAGATTTATGAAGAAAGATTATTTATTTGCTAAATTTTTATAAGAAAAACACTTTTTTCAACATTTTTGAAAACGTTTTTATTTATATAGCAAAAAATAAATAAAAATCCCAGCGGTGAATAAATACCACCAAAATAAAGTTTTATCTGTCTCTAAAAAAAAAATGCTAAAAAAATCATATGGGTACAGTGTTGCATGACCGTGTGATAGCACTGAAAGCTGAAAATTGGCCTGGACAGGAAGGGGATGAAAGTGTCCAGAAGTGGTTAACATATCACATGAACGGGGTGCGATTCTGATGCGGTGCAGAATTTGCAATGAAAACGCTGTGAATTCCGCACCCCATCAGTGTGAACCAGGGCTAAAGGGCTGACTTGTCAAGGGGTATGGCAGCCCTCTGCAGAGACACCACTTCATTCACACAGAGAACGGTCCTTCCCTACTTCCTCTGTTGTCACCGGAAGAGGAAGGGAGCTCAGAGCTCCCCAGCGGGGTCACAGACGGTAGTGAAAGCTTGACTTGGGTGGGAATTTTTTACAGCTGGAAACTCGGGCACTACCCGAGGGCCCGGGGTCAGTAGGGGGCCCCATGAGATGCCCCTGGTACCTTTTTTCATAGGCTTTTTTGAGTTTGGGCAAGGACACAGGGGCCCCATGATCTGCTATTGCCTGGGGGCCCCATGAGTTGTCAGTCCGCCCCTGATAAGAAGTATATAAATCTAGCAACCGATAAAACTGAGCCATGGAGGTGTTTGTGGTGTGAAGTCTGTCCCGTCCCGTCATTTTCTCATCTTCTAACACACATATGAAGGAACTGGAACTTCTCAAACTTCTGCAATTCTTTCTCTATATGGCGCACACTACAAATACTTTTTTCCTTTCTGGGAAGGTGAAAAACCTGTAGCCAGAAGTCCAAGCCCAACCTGTAGCCTGCTTGTCTCATGAACCGGGGCGGGCTGACCATTCGAGCACTTGGGCACTGGCCGAGGGCCCCGGGTCAGTAGGGGGCCCCATAAAATGCCCCTGGTACCTTTTATAGGCTTTTTTGGGTGTGTTTTGAGTGTGGCAAGGACACAGGGGCCCCATGATTCCCAAATGCCCGGGGGCCCCATGAGTTGTCAGTCCGTCCCTGCCCATGAATCATGAGAACTAGAGTTGAGATGACACTGCTAGTCAAGCTCTATCGCATTGTGCTAGCGCACCAGTAACATGTTTCAGGCACTGGGTGCTCAAGGGGAAGGCATTTAAGTGACTGCCATGAGAAAGTACAGGGGCTGCTTTTGCTCTAACGTGAACTTCCAGAAAGAGTTTTTTTTTCCTTTTTTTAATTTCTGATGTGTAAGCAGCGGTGTATGTGATCACTGGATCACTGCTCTGTACTCCAAAGTCTATACTTTTTGTATATGTTGGAAAATACAGCCTTTGCTATAGTTCCTGGCTGTTGGAGATGTGAGAGCTGCAGTTCTGATACAAAAAAAAAAAAAAAAAATCAAAATTTATCATCATTTATCTGCCCTCTTCTTGAAAATTCACAGAACGCCTTCATTGCTCCAACCAGTGGTGTATGTAGCTTGTGTGCTGCCCTAGGCAACACAAAAATTGGACGCCCCCCACCTCCCTGGCAGAGAGAACCTGTCACCAACCAATGCCAGACTTCCCCCCCGCGGAGAGAGCCTGACAGTGACCAACAACACCCCTGCCCCCCCACCCGAGAGAAAACCCTTCCACTAACAGCCCCCCCGGAGACAGAAAGACACTAACCTTCACAGCTCTGGGCATCCCCAGGAATGGCAGTTGGGGTCTGCATACACCATCAAGCAGCCGACAGCCTATTTCAGATCCCACCTGGTCCCCGTGTCCCTCCTTCCAGGGGGCAATGGTGCCCCCCTAAAAAAAATGACGCCCTATGCAAATGCCTTGTTTGCCTTGTGGTAAATACGCCCCTGTCTCCAACCTTCAATTATCCAGTTCTGATCATTATGGGGACTTGATTGAGTTATTTTCCTGTTCTAAGCTGACGGGCCATTCTCCTCCGACCTCCAGCCAGCAGGTAGACTAAGGTGTCCTTTAGACGGGTGGTTGTGCTTTTTGTTTGTTTTTGTTTCATTTTACATTGCGGGACTATGCTGCAACTGCAAGCCAAGCATTGCGCTCACGGTGCAGCCCCATTGATCTCTATGGGTGAGTTTCACAGGTGCTTGTGTTAAAAATGCCTGGACTGCAGCATGTGCACAGCCCTCAAGCTGTAATGATAGCATTCCGATGGGTGGTAGATTTCTGCTGCCTGTTTTTTACCACCCACTGGCCACCTGTGTGATAGAGCCCTAAGGCTAGGTTCACACCTATGCAGTTTGCATTCGATCAGTTTCTGCGGTGCATTTTGCGTTTTTGATGCGTTTTGAATTTAAATTTTTTTTTTTTTGGCCAACTTGTTGCTGGGCAGATTAAAAACGCTCCAAAAATGCATCAAAAACTATGCAAAACTCAGCACTTGCATTTTAGATGCCGTTCCATTGAAGTCTATTGGGCTAAAAACGCAAACTGCTGCAGGAAAAGAAGTCCCTGACCCTTTCCAAAAAATGCACCCGTAAAAACTGCATAGATGTGAACGTGATCCATAGGAAATCATGATAAATGACATGCGCTGCCTTCCTGCAAAACGCATAGAAAAATGCACAAGTGTGAACCTGGCCGAACAGTCATTCTATGTACAAAGTTGGTTAATTTGGGAATCTTCTCTCTAGACATTCAACCAACAAATGTCCAACATCTTGACCACATCTGCATGCTTTATGTACTGAGTGACTGCTGGTACCAGGAGCGGACTGACAACTCATGGGGCCCCCAGGCAATAGGGGATCATGGGGCCCCTGTGTCCTTGCCCAAACTCAAAAAAGCCTATGAAAAAGGTACCAGGGGCATCTCATGGGGCCCCCTACTGACCCCGGGCCCTCAAGCAGTGCCCGAGTTTCCAAATGGTCAGTCTGCCCCTGGCTGCTACTGATGTGCGTTGCTGCGTGGATGTTTCTGCTAATGAGCATGTTTACGTAACAAACTAAACTAGTATTTATTATGACACTGCATTTATAAAATGCTAGGATGACATGTTATATGCAAGCAGGGCCTTAACCACTTCACCCCCTTCCTGCCCAGACCAATTTTCAGGTTTCAGCGCTATCACACTTTGAATGACAATTACGCGGTCATGCAACACTGTACCCATGTGAATTTGTTAGCATTTTTTTGAGACAGAAAAAAACTTTCTTTTGGTGGTATTTTTCACCACTGGGATTTTTTTTTTTGCTATATAAATGAAAAAGTATTTTTCTTATAACATTTTGCAAATAAATAATCTTTCTTCATAAATCATTTGTGTTGTTTTTTTTTTTATATTATTATTTTTTATATTATTATTTATGTTTTTTTTTTTTTTTACATACTGTCACCCTAGTAAGGGTGACACCATGATGACACTGTACTACTTGTGGGGGGTGATGAATATTTTTTTTCCTTTTTTTTACACTGATTGCTTTTACACCCATAAAGGATATAAAAAGCAATCATTTCTCCTTCTCTCTGGCTGCATTCTTGCAGTCATTGAGAAGTACTGAGTGAGCTGTGATTGGTCACAGCTTGTCACATGGTGCAAGGCTGTTGTGAATAGCTGATCATTCACAGATTTCACACGCAGTAAGCAATGATGTCAGAAGTGACATCTTGCTTACTACTCTGCATGTGATCACTGATTGGCCAATCAGTGATCACATGATCGGGACCTCACACAGAGGTCCCGTACAGTGATCGGTGTTCCGCTGTGTCCTTCAGATCGCAGTACCGCGCGCTGCCAGGGATCGCCCACAGGCTTAAAATGCGGGTGCCGTTTATGAACGGTAGTTCGCTCCTGTACTGCTCCCGTCCGGCCATTTATGTACATGGGCTGGACGGGAAGTGGTTAAAGTGTATCTGAACACCAAAAATATAAAAATAAAATATGATATATTGCAGCTTACAAGCTCTTAGATATGATGGCTGCATTAGTTTTCTATTTTAGGCTTTTTTTTCGCTGGTGATTCTAGCAGTAACACACTTCCTGTCCTAGAGTGACAATGCTCACTGACTATTGTATCTGCGGAGGAGCAGTGTTGTCACTCTTGGACATGAAATGTGTTACAATAACATAGGAGGGAGGTTTCTGTAGTCCACAGAGAAAACTGGGAATGAAGTGGTAAGAGTGCAGCACAGGATGTATCTGGATCGCAAGATTTCTGGCAGGATCAATATTTGGTGCATTTCTAGAACAGATACAGCTGTGCTCAGAACTTTGCATACCCTTGGAGAATTGGCAATATAGAGTATGTACCATTTTTAACCACTTGCCATCCAGAGGATTTACCCCCCTTAATGACCAGGCCTCTTTTTGCTACTCGGCGCTGCACTATTTCAGCTGATAATTGCGCGGTCATGCAATGCTGCACCCAAACGAAATTTATGGCCTTTTTTTCACACAAATAGAGCTTTCTTTCGGTGGTATTTGATCACCTGTGCGCTTTTTGTTTTTCGTGCTATAAAAATAAAAAAAAGACCGAAAATTTAGAAGAAAAATAATATTTTTTACTTTCGGCTATAAAAATAGTCATAAATTTAGGCCAAAATGTATTCTGCTCCATGTTTTTGGTAAAAAAAAAATCCCAATAAGTGCATATTGATTGCTTTGTGTGAACGTTATAGCGTCTACAAACTATTGTATAGATACTGCAATTTACGCTTTTTTTTTTGCTATACAGCTCAGCGCTAGTTTAACTGACAATTGTGCAGTCCTTTTTTTCACACAAATAGAGCTTTCTTTTGGTGGTATTTGATAACCTGTGCGCTTTTTATTTTTGGTGCTATAAACAAAAATGTTTGACAAAAAAAAAGTTTTGGAAAAAAAAAAAATATTTTCTTATTTCTGTCATAATAAATATCCAAAAAACTCAAATTTCGTCAGAAATGTAGGCCACAATGTATTCTGTTACATGTTTTTGGTTTAAAAAAAAACCCAATAAGTGTATATTGATTGCTTTGTGTGAAATTTATAGCGACTACAAAACTATGGTATAGATACTGCAATTTACACAGCTTTTACTTTCTGACTGCCCATCACATTTCTTAAGGTGCTAAAATACCAGGATAGTACAAACACCCCCAAATGACCCCTTTTCGGAAAGTAGACACCCTAAGCTATCTGCTGAGAGGCATATTGAGTCCATGGAAGATTTATTTTTTTTTTTCACAAGTTTCTGGAAAATTACAAAAACTTTTTTTTTTTACACAAAGTTGTCATTTAAATTACCGTATTTTTCGCTCCATAAGACGCACCTGACCATAAGACGCACCTAGGTTTTAGAGGCAGAAAACAGGAAAAAATAAATTCTGAACTAATGGGAGTGCAGACACAGTACAGGAGATGACCAGAGACTGCAGACAGCACAGGGATGACCGGAGACTGCGGACAGCGCAGGGATGACCGGAGACTGCGGACAGCGCAGGGATGACCGGAGACTGCAGACAGCGCAGGGATGACCGGAGACTGCGGACAGCGCAGGGATGACCGGAGACTGCGGACAGCGCAGGGATGACCGGAGACTGCGGACAGCGCAGGGATGACCGGAGACTGAGGACAGCACAGGGATGACCAGAGACTGCGGACAGCAAAGGGATGACCAGAGACTGCGGACAGCAAAGGGATGACCAGAGACTGCGGACAGCACAGGGATGACCAGAGACTGAGGACAGCACAGGGATGACCAGAGACTGCGGACAGCAAAGGGATGACCAGAGACTGCGGACAGCAAAGGGATGACCAGAGACTGCGGACAGCACAGGGATGACCAGAGACTGCGGACAGCAAAGGGATGACCAGAGACTGCGGACAGCACAGGGATGACCAGAGACTGCGGACAGCAAAGGGATGACCAGAGACTGCGGACAGCACAGGGATGACCAGAGACTGCGGACAGTACAGATGACTGCTGACCTTTGGGGAGGTGG